ATAAAATATGGCAAAAAAGGCTCTGAACAGAGCTAATGCAGACCATAAAACTCACAAAATAAGTCCTGGAATGTGACTTTACAACATGCAAAATGGAGCTCCTTTGGAAGGCCAACAAAGCTAGTAAAGAGAATGAGGGGTGAGAGGGTCACCCCTCTATGATTTTGGAGCTCAAAGACACATCAAAACCACTGAAAATTCACTGGATTTTAGTGGCTAAGAGGCCAAAACAAGGCCAATGCAAATGCTCAAATGCATGGCTCAAAGCATGAGGAAATGAAGCATGCAAGGAAGAAGATGACTCCAAACAGAAAAGTGACCTCAATCAAACTTAAAGAAGAGGTCAAAACAAGACTTTCTTCAGTTTATGGAAAATCTCGAAAATGCTTTCAAATAGAGCTAAAGTATAGAGCAAAATAGTGCAAAAAATGAGTAAATGAAGACTTACCCTTGTAGCACAGCAATGCAGCAATTTCTGGACCAAGAATGTGAGCTCTCAACCTCTGCAAATGACCTCCAAGGTACTGAAATGGATGGTGGAGGTGGTAGGCTATAAGGTGTAGTGCAAATGGTGCAAGAATATTAGGGTTTGGAGGCTTGAAGTATAGAGATAGAGAGAGTTGTATATATGCTCCAGCCAAAACTTTCTAACCCTTGCAAATAGAGGGGGAGTGTTGGTTTTATAGAGGAAGAAGGCCAAGGCTTCTTGGAGAAGCCTTAAGAGAGGGTCAAAGCTTCTCAAAGAAGCTTAACCAAAGGGCTCAAGCTTCTTGAGGAAGCTAGACCAAAAGGGTCAAGCTTCCTCAATAAGCTTGACAAAAGAGTCAAGTTTCTCTAAGAAGCTAAGAAAAAGGGCCAAAACCAACTTAAAAAGACCAAAAAGATGGTCAAAACCCCGGAGGAAGGGTTAAGTGCTTCACAGCTGGCACAACTGTGTTGCACTCAAAAAGAGCAAAAAGCAGAAAGCTGACCGACCAGCTTAGGTGGTCAGCCGACCAGGGGTCAAAAGGTTCAAGGAGAAATGCTGGCCGGCCACCCCAGAAAGGTGGCCTCCCAGATGAGTGCAACACAGTTGTATGGTGGAAAACCAGAAAATGTGACCCAAGAGAGAGAAAAATCAGCTTTTTAGCAAGGTTCAAAAGGGTCAAGAAGAATTACTGGTCGGCCTACCCATATTGGTGGCCTTCCAGATGAGCACAACACAATAGTGGTATGAAAAGTCAGAAATTGTGGCTCAAAAGTGAGAAAAACCAGCTTTCTGTCAGAAAAACCGGCTTTAAGAGAGAGAAAAAGAGAAAAATAGTTTCCAAGGGGAAAAGGTGGCCTCCCACCATACTACCACCTCCCTAACAATGAAAATAGGGTCTCTACCAAAAATGGACCAAGACGGATGCAAAACGAGGGTTCGGGGGCCAAAACGCGCAGTCCGAGGCCCCGAAAATAGGTTGTTAGGCACCGGAAGTGGCGTATGACCACGAAGGTGGTCTCCCGGGCCACAGTGTCCCTCTAAATGGAGGAAACAAGGTGTGTGCCAAAAACCGGAGCAAACGGAGGTAGTTAAGCGGTCCCGAACTGAGGCACACGGCCGACGGCTCGGAAAACCGAAAACTGGGCTCCAAACGGGAAAAATGGCCTACGACCACGAAACGTAGCCTATGGCCACTGAGAGATGGTCTACGAGACCTCTCCCTCCCTTTGGGAAGAGAAAACAGAGAAAACAAGACCTAATTCGCAAACCGAGGTAAAGCACAAAAGAGTCCCGAAGTCCAGAGGCAAGGCTCGCGGCCGAGACTCCGCAACCTCAGAACGAGCACAACATGCAACATCACCGAGCGCTCAGTTGGTGATGTCTGAATCTTAAGGTCGGTTAAAAATGAGGTGTCTACAGCCCTACACACATTTGTCCTACTAGGATATTTGGACGGATCAAATCTATTCAAATTATAAAACAACGGCTGAGATATATTTTTCAAAAAGTATCCTACATGTACATTTTTTATTTCCCCGGTTCTCTCTCTTACTTTTTTCTTTTATCACTCATCCTTCTAATATGATTCCATGATCTCACCTTCCTCTCTCTTTTCTTTTTATTTTTTTATTTTCTCACATTTTTATTTTTCTCTCTATTTGTTTATTTTTTTATTTTCTCCTTTTTATTCACTTGTTTTTATTCATATTATATAGAAAAGTCTGCGATCCCAAAATTAGGAGCCAGATTTTATTATGTGTAGTACAGATTATGTTAATGAATTTTTTAGTCCACAAATTAAATAAATTTGAACAATTAATTATTATTTTTAAATATGTTGAATACCTGATAGATTTCATAAATTTAGACCTCATATGAATCTTCAACATTTATATAATAAAGCAGGATGATTTTTGAATCTTCAACATATTTTTGTCCTATTTGGACATTTGGATGGCTTAGATTTGTTCAAATTACAAAATAATGGCTGAGACATATTTTTCAAAAAATGTTCTACATATACATTTTCTACTTTCTTACTTCTCTCTCTCTTACTTTTTCCTTTTCTCACACTCCTCCTTCCATGATCTTGCCTTCCTCTCTTTTCTTTTTATTTTTTTCTTTTCTCTCGTTTTTATTTTTCTCTCTATTTGTTTTTTTTTTTAATTTCTACTTTTTGTTCAATATATTTTATACATATTTCCATACAATATATGTATGCCCGTAATACACTAGGACATTACGGGCATACATACAATTTTCATATAATTATATAAGTAAAAGGATTATTATATGTATGCCCGTGGAAATTGTATATATGCTAGGCACATCTATCTATCTATACTATATATTAAGCAAAAAGGGATTTTTAACCCCAAGCCTTATGGGAGCTCCAATCTCCCAATCTAAATTTCTTGATTTTTTTATTTAACAAAAAAAATCTTAGCATTTATTAACTTCTCCCAACTCCCAAGTCTTACTCTCATAATAACACTTTAATGCATTAAAAACAAACATAAAAAAAATTCTTTGAAATCCAACAAATGTGAATTCCTTAAAAAGTCCCAACACATATAATTATTATCCCTCATAATAACACTTTAATGCATTAAGAACAAGCATAAAAAAAATTTCTTGAAAAGTCCAACACATAACTATCTATACTTACTATATATTAAGCAAAAGGAGGTTTTTAACCCCAAGCCTTGTGGGAGCTTCAATTTCTCAATCTAAATTTCTTAATTTTTTGATTTAAAAAAAATCTTAGCATTTATTAAATTCACCCAACTCCCAAGTCTTACCCTCATAATAACACTTTAATACATTAAAAATAAGTATAAAAAAAATTCTTTGAAATCCAACAAATATGAATTCCTTGAAAAGTCCCAACACATATAATTATTATCTCTCATAATAACACTTTAATGCATTAAGAACAAGCACAAAAAAAATTTCTTGAAAAGTCCAACACATAACTATCTATACTTACTATATATTAAGCAAAAGGGGGTTTTTAACCCCAAGCCTTGTGGGAGCTTCAATTTCCCAATCTAAATTTCTTGATTTTTTGATTTAAAAAAAAAATCTTAGCATTTATTAACTTCACCCAACTCCCAAGTCTTACCCTCATAATAACACTTTAATGCATTAAAAATAAGTATAAAAAAAATTCTTTGAAATCCAACAAATATGAATTCTTTGAAAAGTCCCAACACATATGATTATTATCCCTCATAATAACACTTTAATGTATTAAGAACTAGCATAAAAAAAATTTCTTGAAAAGTCCAACGCATATGATTATTATCAAAATATTAAACTTTAATATAATATAATAAAATAAAGACATTTAATTTTTTAAAAAGCCCAACACATATGATTATTATCAAAATATTAAAATTTAATATAATATAAAAAAGAAAAAAAAGAAGACATCTTTTTTTAAAAAAAGATAACATTTAAAAATTACAATTCACATATGTAGATAATTGTAAATACAATTCGTGCATAGCACAGGTGATATGCTAGTATCTATACTATATATTAAGCAAATGAGGGTTTCTAACCCCCAAGGCCTGTGAAAACTCAATATGTCAATCCTAATTTTCTAATTTTTTGTTTTGTTAAAAAAAAAATTAATTTTCACCATTTATTAACTTCTCTCAACCCACAAGATTTTTTAACTTCTCTCACAATTATTGTATTACCTTTTCCAAAACAAATAATCTATACTATATATTAAACAAAAGAGTGTTTTTAACTCACAAGCCTTGTGAGAGTTCCAATATCCTAATCCTAATTTTCTAATATTTGATTTAACAAAAAAAAAAATCTCAGTATTTATTGTTTCTCCCAACCCAACCTCAACATTTATTAATTTCTCCCAACCCACCATCCCTTTTGACTTTTCTCATAATTACTGTAGCACCCCTTTCAATTTCTCTCATACATTATGGTTACACACAAAAATAAAGAAGATAAGAATTTAGCTATAGATCTCAAAAAAATATAGCATCTAAATTTGAATTATGATTTAGTAATATAATTATATATTTTTTTTAATATATATATCTAAATTTTAAATCACTTAATGGGACAAATTAATCAACTTTTAACTATTATTTAAAGAATAATCTGATTAGTCATCCCAACTCCTAAACTTCGCAGACATTGGTGGTGGAGGTGACAGATTAGACTGAATGTGGTCTAAATTGTTGGAGATAACATCCCACCACTCCAAAAATTTATTTTTATTTTAGCTTTTTTTTTTTTTTTTTTTTCTCCTTATGTTTTTCTCCTTCTTTGCTTTTGGTTTTGGTCTTGGTCTTGGTCTTGGTCGGCCTCGTTTGGAGAGTGGCTATTTTAGCCAAAAAGTCAAAAAGTTACTAAGAGTTGTCACATCACCTCTCTATTTTTTTACACATCTTTTCATAAAAAGTCAAAAAATTACTATAGTAGCCTGTTCCCAAACGAAAATGTGTTTGTTTATAAGTTTGCATGGTGGAGAAGAATTATTGTTATCATTGCAATCGATCTGAAATGGAAAGTGTTAAATCTTTATTCCATTCTGGATTGATATACTTCCTTATAACATGAGTCTTTAGTTTCTGCGACAAATTGAATGTATCAACATCCATGTAATTTTTGAAAATTAGGTAACAAAAAGTATACACATTACAAAGAAAAAATATCACATAAAAACAATTTAAACTTCCATATCAAAAACAATGCTATAACGACTTACATAATGAATGCAACTTCAATAACGGAAATAAAACACACACACACACACCCCAAAAAAAAAACCATATCGTCAAACAATTTTAGCCATATGATCTTGTACATAACGATTTCACAGTCAAAATACATTCAAGAAGTTTCTAAAACCTGTTTGATGAAAAAAATAAAAAAACAAATTGAAATTCTTCAGATCAAACTGAGTTTTTAAGATTAACCGCATTTGGGAAAAATCTATACAATACTTGGTCCTGATTTTTGAAAATAAATAAATAAATGAATAATGACATAAATTAGAATGTCTGTAAATGACACATTTACTTACAGCAGCAAAACTCAACCCCATAAAAAAAAAAACTTGTGTAATTAATTTTTCCCAAAATATAAAAAGAATCTAATTAAGCAAACTCCAAACCAACAAACCTACCAAAAAAGAAAAAGAAAACAATCCAAACCCACACAACCCTTCATCTCTTGTACTTGTTAGTTATAATTCACCCCTTACCATTGCCATAAATAAACCCTAAAGTTTCAAACGCTATACCTCTCTAAAATGAATTGTCTCCATAGCACATGTTCCCAATTTGCACTATATTCTGCTTTCCATTGAAATCTGCAAAACTGTCTAGCATTGATGGATTAATACCAATTCTGGTTCCTCCCTCAGCTTCTCTTATGCCCAGTCTCTTATATATGTCACACACCAAGGACTAGTTAGATTAGTCATAAGATTCAACTTTCAAGCAAGTTTTGAATACCTTGATGCATAAATGGCATTGATGGATTAATACCAATTCTGCTTCCTCCCTCAGCTTCTCTTATGTCCAGTCTCTTATATATGTCACACACGGAGGACTAGTTAGATTATTCATAAGATTCAACTTTCAAGCAAGTTTTGAATACCTTGATGCATAAATAACACAACTGTTGAATTCATTTCAGCCAGGTAACTATAAATATGGTTTTCATGATTTTTCTTGCATGATCGTATAAATATAAGTCTGAAATGGAAATCATACAAAATTATTTGAACCATTCATTTATATAACACCCAATTCTGATACGTCAAGAAACAGTTAAAAGTAATCACACACATGAATACAATATTTACATATTTCACCTTGAAACTAAGACTACACAACCATATTGCATGACCAGAAAAGTTACAAGAGATATAAGATAGTCACCTCCCCTCAACTACAAATACATAGAAATTAAAGCAACAAATCGCAAAATTACCAAAAAAGACATTATCAGATTTCAAACTATCCAACAAAAATCTACAAAACTCAATTACCAACGAAAACAAACACACACAAAAAAAGAGACAATCTATAGGAACAATTATATGAACCCGCAGTCACATAAATCTAGTCCATGTGAGCTACTACAGAGACAATTTGTAGAAAACAAATATGATGCAACAATATGATTAACCAAACATATGAGCAAAAAGGAAAAGAAAAAAAAAACAATATCAATGACCATAGATGAGAAAAAGTGGCCATACAAGAAAATTAAAAAATTGTAAAATAGAAAAGAAAATATATTTTCCTAATGAAAATAGCCGAAGAGCATCGCCAAAAACAACACAAGCTCAAATCCTAATGAAAACTACTCTATGAAATGTCAACAAATTAGCCAGTAAATTGAGAAAACAAATCAAGACAAGTTATTCTTAAGTAGAATTAAAAATTATTCTTAAGCATCTAAAACTTCCCAATGTCACAAGTTTAATAAAAATTTTAAAGCAAACTAATTTATTAACATTCATAGCAAGTCTTTGTAGCAAAAGTTCACCAGCTCTAGAAGGCAAGCAACAAGGAATCAGAAACCCAAACATACCACTTTAGTTTGCATGTTTGGAGCCTGAAGCCCCCTGGGGGAATAATTACACAGATCTTTGCAGTATTAGAACCACAGGTGCCTACAGCAGTTTATTCAACCATGCCATAGCCCTACAAGCCAAAAAAATAAAACAATTTATGACACCCCCCCCCCCCCAAAAAATAAATAAATTGTGAACTAAGAAAAAAGATGAAAAACTCATGTTTCAATTGGTTTCCAAGGAAAAACATGGAAGTGATTGAAATTTAGAATCTCATATTATCTCCTTTTTGGACTTGTGTATATAGTAAAACAGGGGTAAGAGTAAGATATTTTGTAATGACACCAGGTTCAAAGCATGAGGAGAAAATGTCTTCGAATGAAGTGTATTCATAAGCATTTTAAGTCAATGGAACAATTCAATTTTATTGTAAAAAAAACCCAAGAAGAGCATGAAGTGAAGAGTTTCTCAGCAAACATCATAGGAATAAATAGTCTAGCCCAAGGATATACATTTGGTCATCATAAACAAAAGAAATGGAATTAATTGACAAATAATTGTTCTCCTCTAAAAAAAATCCTTTCAACTATGAAGGAACAAAATGAATTTTTGCCAATTTGGGAGAAACCCTAATTTTAGAAATTTCTCTATATTTTGTGGCCCCGTTGTGTCATATTGAAGAACCCATAGAAAGACTGAAGAACCAGACGAAACATTAAAATTCTACTTTCCAGTCATCCTAATAAACCATTTCATAAGTCTTTGAAGTTGAAGAAACCCACCAACTTGAAATACTAAAAACTGCATAAAGAAAGTGTACTAACGTGAAGCCATGAGCAATCCCCAAATGGATATGTCCGCCTGAATCTTTTTCAGCTGCTTCAGTACAGCTTCTTCTTCTAGCAGTTTATCCTTTTGTTTTTCAGCTTCCTTATCCTTCCCTGATGCTTCTGGTTGATCCAGGTGCGGGGGTTTAAAATACCACCCACTCCGAGTTATGTGATTGACTTCCTCGGAATACCATGTATCATCTGGCAGATTTTGTCCCCAATCTTCATCTATGTGGGCAAGATGCAAATCATCATCTTCCCACCACATTCCTCCGGTAACTGAAAAACAACTGTCCAGTTCCATTATAAGAATTCCTGTATCCATAACACAATCAATCCCCGTAGGGCCTTTGGCTTTTCTAGCCTTTCGATCATTCTCGATTCTTTCATATTCGAACTGCTTCAGTGTGGCCTCCTGTTCCGTATTGGTTGTACAAATGCTACCCAATTCTTGAGCAAAATTCTTAGTACTGATGCTCTCCAGCAACTTTTCCTTGTCGTGGACCGTTCCAACCGTTGCAGCAACTCCCATTTCCAGCTGTTCCTGATTTGGTTAAGACCCCTCATCAACATCTGGTTCATCGCTGAGCCATCCCATATTGTCTCTTGATCTGTTCATATCAAACCAGCCAATCTGTACATTTCCCAGATCTTGTTCATCGAAGAACTGCATATTACTGATGCCCTCCTCGAGTTCAGCTAAGTCATCCAGTCCCTAGCTTGGTCCATCCTCCTGGACTACGTTAACCTCTATTCCCGTCGACAATTCCACCCCTAGTTTGGCCTAACTAATTGGCGCAATGTAGCAGCACGGGTTATATTCTTCTTCAGTTAAGCTCACGGAGCCCTTGGGCATACCTTTTTCTACCATAGCCACCACCACAGGTTCGGCTTGGGATATGGATGCGCTCATCATGCATAAGTCTGTGCTTTTTGGGATGAACAACGCCGGCTTAGGTAGGTGGGAGGGGGTGATGTATATACTGGGTCGTATAGGACGACCAGTGTTTGGATAAGGTTTACTCTCCTGGGTGGTAAGGGTTGGTTATGTGGTGGGAGAGGGTTTGTGGTGACGTTAGGCCTTTGAGGAGGCGTTATCACTTTGTTGTCGATGAGATCTTGAATCTCATGACAAAGTTTAAAGCATAGGTCGGTATCATGACCGTGCTGCTAGTGGAAGGCGTAGTATTTGGCCGAGTTATGTGTAGAAGGGAGGAGATTAGGAAATGGGTGTGGCTCCAGGGGCTTGAGATGCTCCTTTCTGATCAGGACCCTCAAGGCCTCAGATAGAGACATGTAGAGTGCGGTGAAAACCCTCTAGCCTCAGGGTTGGTGCTTTGCAGGTTGTGAGGTAGTTTCAGATGTATTAGCAAATGGGGTGGCTATTTTCGGTGTGGTGGTGACCATACCAACATCAGAAGTCCTTGCAGCTGCATTACTACTCGTAGCCGCATTTGAACTGCATGTAAAAGCCCTCTTGGGCTGCTCTTTTTCATGGTCTGTCAGACCCTGTTTCATCGCATCCTCTATCTACACCCCTATCTCAGGAAGGTTAGCAAATGTAGGTAGAAGTAAGACTATCATCTTTTGTAGTAGCCTCGGTTGCAGATTACAGACGGCCATTCTTATCTGGTCCTTTTCAGCTGGCCGGGTGGTCATCATGGAGGCTTTGGCCCTCCACCGAGTGACAAAATTGGAGAATCCCTCCTTTGGCTCTTGACGAGTTGCCTCGAGTTCACGAGTTGTGACCTCGATTTGAGTGTTATAGGAATATTGGGTGATAAAGGCCCCGGCCATCTCTTCTCAGTTCCTCTTCACAGAATCCTCAAGTTCAGCATACCAAATGGCCGCGATACTTGACAAGGTCCGATCGAAAAGAGATAACTTTTGCAATCTAGTTAGCCCCATCAGCCGCAGAATATCTGAAAATAGTCGCAAGTGGACCATGGGATCACCCGAGCCACCAAAGCGGTCTATATGTGGCATTTTAAACCTATCTGGCAAGGTCACCGCTGCATCGGCATAGCCATCCTCTATATCTGGGATCAATTTGACACCTTGAGCTCGTTTGAAAAGCTTCTCAAGCTTGCTCACTTTCAGAGCTATAGGGTCGACCTCAAACTCAAACGATGCCTCTGTTGGGTAGACTGGTGCTTTGGAAGTCTAGGGTGGGACTAGCTCTGCCGGAATGTCTGCATTTTCCTGGACATTAGTAGTAGCCCCAGGTATTGGAACCCTGACTGGGGGTGGATGTGAAGTGAAAACTGCTGCTTGTTGTGGTTGTTGTTGCTGTTAAAGCCTAGCGATCAACTCAGCCTACTGGTCCGCTTGGTGGGCAGCATTCAGTTGCATATTCTCGATAGTCTGCTGAAGTTGGCGCATCATATCCTCCATGTTGTCTACAAGGTGCTGATCAGTCAAAACTGATGTGTTTTCCCTTTCTAAAGTAGAAGCAGACAACTGGGTTTGACTGATCACAGGTGGAGTAATTAGTAACTGCTGAATTGGTGACTACTGAACCGGTGAGGTATGTCTAACTCTTCTTTGTCTGGTAACCGGGGGTAGCAAAGAAAACACTGGTTGTCCTCCAATAAGATCCTTAGATCGATAAATCCGCCTTACTCTGGTCCAAAGTGCTTGGGGGGTAACTGCCTCGTCGGAAGCAATTGTGAAATACTACCTTGCAAAAAGAAAATACAGCAAAAGAAACAAAAATCAGAAAATGCAAGCACCTCGACTTAGACAGAGACAACACAGTTGAAATCATAAGCTGGACGACTGTACTCAGACACTGATTTCAGCCCCAAATTTTCTACCTCAAAACTGATACCCCCAAACTGATACTCAGACTTGCAACTGATATATACATTCCTGCAGAGTTACACTCTAAAAGCACATATCAAGCAAATGAGAGCCAAAACACCCCTATGGAGGGGTAGCGTTACCCTGTCCTAATCTCGTAAGGAGCTAGGGATTCACCATGCAAAAAAATGATATCATACAATCCTGCATTCAGGTGAGCAACCTGTCCTAGTTTGGAACAGTCTCTATGGCTTCCGATATGCAACTAGGCCGATTGGTCGAAAAGGGTACCCCAGGAAGACCACCTAATATACCTCTCGCTCCTAACACCGAGAAGTGAAAGGATATTCAAACGGTACCGCGGTAGTCCAGATCCAAGGCTTGTGTTCCCATCGTGACAGAGCCCACAACCGGTCAACCTTATGGCACACTTTTGCAAGCGAGCATCTGGCAAACCGCTCAGGAATAGTAGATGGAAAACACTGTGACTTAGGCGCGCCGATGCAAATGCAATGCAAAGAAACATATAAGTGTAAATAAAACAACATATCATGAGTTTGAGTCAAGTTCTCTAATTTCCTAGCAGAGTCGCCAAAAACTATAGCTCGACTTTTTCGCGCCCCCCCTTTTCGAAGAGCTCAAATTGGTCCTACAGTTCGGACTCCTGTCACAGTTCTGAATCTAGTTTCACAAGGTATAATGTGAAATTAATAAACACCAAAGAGTCCAATCCGACAAATCATTTTGGAAAATCGATTATAGATCAAATAATGCCAAAATTGGACTGCTTTGCCAGATTACAAAGTCGTCACTTAAATATTTTGTTTTTGAAAAATTTACGAAACCCTGACTCGTGCCAAAGGCCACGTGTTCATCATCACCAAAGTTGCCTCAGCTCAAGAACTTGGGTACAAGAGGGGAAGGTCCTAAAATGAGCACCCCGCTCGCCCGATCAAAAGATCAGCCTCTACTATCATGATATGTTGTTTTATAAACCTCATATGTTCTTACTCCGATTATTAGTTAACTTTACTATGTGACGCACACAAGCAAGTATAGACTATGTCGCGAGATTTGTAGCGAATTCAACTCATGTTTGTTTTTGAAAATGGTTTGAATTTGCCACCCTCTAGTGGGCTTAGAAATGCGGATTTGCCACCTCAAGTGGGCTTAAAACATGATTTTGCCACTTCGCAAAGTGGGCTTAAAACTTACATTCGTTGAATTGTTCCAATTCAAGCAACAAAGCTTTCATCCACAGGCATTCATGCAGTTTAGCATATAAGCACATAGCCTCGTGGCAAGCATGCGAAACATGGCAATATGGAAATCACACTCATGCAAGTATGCTAAAGCATAAAACTCACCGAGTGCTCCAAGCCAAAACAAAAAGCTAGTTAGAAAAATGCATGATCCTAACTATACAAGATGCCTAATGCAACACATGCAATAATGCAATTAATAGGCTCAGCTACTAATATGGCATACGAAGCAACTTGATAACATGCTTTTAAACATGTATTCAAAGAAGTGTATTGAGTTTGCAACACAGTTTGAATGATGCGCCGAGCCTCGGTGCATGCAAGACAAATGAATGATGCAAACATGCAAGCATAAAGTATGCTAATTGAAAATGATCCCTAATCTAACCATCAAAAGTGAATAAATAAAAGGGAAAAAGATGTGGGGTTGGAAGACATGCACACATGCACGCACGCACACTTATTACAACATTACACCCTCATGAATGAGGGTCAGAATGAATAAGCTAACTAGCTATGCTAATTAAGCAAAGTTATTACAAACCAAAACTAATTAACTATTCTAAATAATTAAATATTACAAAACTTGTATGAATCAATTAGCTACAACTAACTAATAAAGAAAAGTAAGCAGATAGTCTCGAGGGTGAGGGAGGCATGCATTCTCGGTCGGCTTTTTCCTAAAAATCCACCGCCTTGCCATCGGACACCTCTGTTTGCATTTGTTTTGACCACTGAAAATTACACCAACTCCCAACACACCTCTGCTCCACCTCGGGAACATACTGAACCAACTTTTCATTGATGGCCGGTCGACTACAATTGGTGGCTGTCGGCCATTACCTGTGGCAGGTCGGCTACCCCTTCCTTGGACTTCTCT